AGGTAGGAGTAGAGGCTGACTTGGTGACCACTTTCTGAGTTGTAAGTGCCCCTGAAGGGACTGATTAACTTGTCATTTGTCACACAACTGCAAGAAGCGAATTACATTGTTGTAAGCAAAGAAACTGATTGCATCAAACATGCAGTGTAAACTAACCCATTGGAGTCAATGAGCTGCATTCGCTGCTGAGCGCCATTGTGAGCGACGCAATTTTTCACCAGAATGTCGAATCCCGCTAGAATTTGAATAAATTGTATTAACAACAAGAAGACTGAATTTCATCAGAAAGATGCTACCTTTTTCGCTTTTCATATGTATCAGCAGTGTCAAAGGATCGCCCACTGTAACGGAACCTGAAGTGCGAGAGCCGGCGATGCCGAATCCCCTGCGAATTTCCATTTGACACTGCGGTGGGTTTACGGTAAACACCACAGGACTGCCGGTGTTGATTCTGTAAATATTGTTACAACATGAAACAATGAGAGGGAGAGAGTTTCAATGTAAATCATCACACACGTACTCTACATTGACAGAGGGAAAGGTGACCGTCTTCCAGAAGTCGCTGCCGTACTCGCAAGTCAGTCGAAAGTGTTCATCAAATTCCTCCTCTATCATGGCGTTGTACTGAATTGACAGTGTGTTCCACATCAACTGATCACGTCTCTGTTGATTTAAAAGATTGAAAGAATGGTTATTAATAAGTTGCACTGCAACCACTGCCGTCCATAAATGACTTACTCTGGCCTCTCCAGGCATCGTCGGGTGGTACATCTCTTGACGACCCAGAGTGCCGCACTGATTCAAGCGAATGAAGAATTCGTAGTAACTGCGACCGGAACCATTGACGTAGATGCAGTTGGGATCATGAACGTAGCCAGAGCTGTAGACTAGACCGGTGAAGGTGCCGTTAAAGCGGACCACTACCTTCATGTACTCGTCAGAACACTCGGCGGCAATGTCTGCAATAACAAAGTATGATTTTTACTGCAAAACCAAAACAAAAGCCAAACGTACGTTCTACTCTAGTAATGTTGTAGCGGCGATTGGGATTGGGCGCCTTGAAGGGAGG